AAACTCGAAGTTTTATTGAATGTGAACCTTTGAACTCGAATGAAAAGCTTTAAACTTTGGATGTGAATCTTCAAAATTCAAATGTTGGATGTGAGCCTTGCAATTTGCATGTGAATCCTTGAATAAAAACTTTGGATGAAAATCTCACAAATGCAAATTTTGAAAATCCTACAAATTTGAATTCTTGCATATTTGAAAATTTGATAATCAAATTTCAGTGAATTCTTATGAAGCTGAAAAGTTCTTGCGAATCTAAACCTTTGAATTTTAAATTCAAATTATAAATCTTTGAGTTTTCATTACAAATTTCACCAGATATAATCTACGATTCCTCTGGACATGATTATCAAGGAGCCTTTTATTTTTCAAAATTGTGGTGCCTCTGTTTAGAGGAGCATTTTATTTTTCAAAAGTTATGGTGCCTCTTTTTAGAGGAGCAATTTATTTTTCAAGAGTTGTGGTACCTCTGTTTAGAAGAACATTTTATTTTTCAAAGTTGTTGAGCTTCTATTTAGAGAAGCTTTGTTTACTTTTTAAAAAAAAAATAAAAAATGTGTGTCGAGTTGTTTGGTTGTCTATATCTTTGTACAATTTTTGTTTCATAAAAAATGTGCAAAGAGGAATAGCTGTAGATACTCCAATCTATCTAGGGTTCTATTGGGTTAATTTTGTTAATAAAAAAAAATAAAAAAATAAAAAATAAAAAAAAAGTAGTTGAGTTTATGTGAAATTGTTGAAACTAGTTTGTAAAGTTGGAGTTAGGTTTAAAGTTAAAATTCAAAGAAAATTAGGATTACTTTTTAGATTGGAGTTTTCAAATTCATAACCCTATAAATACATATCCACACAGATCATACAAACACATAAAAAAATTAAGGAGAGAGGTAAAAATCAGAGAAAACAGTCAAAAAAATATTTCAAAGATTTTTTGGGGTATTAAAAAATAATTTTTTTGAAAAAAATCTAAAAAATTCTCAAATTCTGACAACTTTTTTTGGTCTTTGTCTCAAGTCGAGCTAAGAGAAGTCACTTTTTAAGCCATTATAGCTTTTTTTCCTGTAGTTGAGCCATTCCAGCTGAGCCGTTTCATTTTTTTTTGGTATTTTTTGTATTTTTGGTATTTTTTATGTGTTTTTTTAATATTTTTGCATGATTAAATTTAAAAAAATAAAAAAATAAAAAAATATTTTTGAGAATAAGTATTAATTATCTAATGTGAAATTTATAGAAATTTCAAATGGTAAATTTTTATAAAATTCTTAGGTGAGGAAAATTTTATCCTAAATTTATCCCAAATGGTGAAATAATTTAAGATAAAGTTTCAATAACAATAATTAATATTTATTTTCAAACAATAAAAAATATAAAAATTTTGGAATTAAATATAAATTACCCAAGGATGAGATTCTTAAAAATTTCAAATGATAAATTTCTAAGAAATCTCTAGTGAGAAATTTTTTTCTAAATTTGTCCCAAAATGTGGAATATTTTAGATGAAATTTCAATAAAATTAATTGTATTCTTTTTCAAATAAAATTTTGATTAAAAATATTTGAAAATTATCCAATGATGAAATTCTTAAAAATTTCAAATGAAAAAATTTTGAGAAATCTCTAGGTGAGAAATTTTCTTTAAATTTGTTCTAAATGGTGGAAAAATTTAAATGAAATTTCAATTAAAAATAATTGTCATATTATTTTCTTTCCGAAAATAAAAAAAAAAAGAAAAAAGAATTTTGACATAGGTCAAAATGGTGGAAAATTTAGAATTTTGATAAAAAAAAATATTTCTAAATTGACCCAAATGATGAAAAATTTAGAAATAAAAATTAATTAATTAATTAATTAATTAATTGAATTTCTAAATAGGCCTAAATGGTGGAGAATTTAAAAATTTAAAACAAGAAAATATTTTTAATTTGGCCTAAATGATGGAATAATTAGATATATTTTTGACAATAAAAAAATTAAACTTTTTTTCGACGACGAAACCTCTTCGAAAAATTAAATGAAATTTTTGAATACTTTCGAGGTAAGAAAATTTTTTTAAGAATTCTTCCAAATTGATGGAAGAATCTTATAAATTATTTTCAATATTTAACATAAAAGTTTGCAACCATTAGACTCAAGATCATATGATAAATTTAAAATAAAATAGTACTATCCTTTGGACATGTGGGGGCACTATAACTTTTTTCATATGTAACCGAACTCTCGAACCCTGTTCTGATTGTTGACCTGAACCTACTTTTTTAGGAATTCTTCGTTAAACTTAGGAGTTCCTTAAGAGGATAGATTTATTAAGTGATCAATCACATATAGATAAAAAAGATTGATGATGACTCCATTTATTAACTTTAGCTATAGATTTTCAGATCTATATGTTATGACAAAGGGTAAAAAAGTTACTATCAATCTCTCTTCTCTGTATGCCAAGTAGTGCTAAAAAAAAGATTCAATGCTAGAGGCTTGGGGACTTCCTCAGTTGGAGGAACCAACCACAAAAGAAAAAGTCCTGCAAGAATATTCTTCATGATCAATTATTCCACTCTAAGTGGAGGGTTTGAAGGGGTTGAGGGATGGCGAATTCTGCTCATCATTCGCTTCACTTGACTTGATCGACCAAGTCAAATGCATGATTTCTTTAGTGATAAATGTAAGTGGAGGGACCTCTCTTTCGGTTGGTGCCCTTGACTTTTTTATTAATTATGACTTCAGTGACTTCAAATTTTGCATTCTGAATGCAGCTTGAAGTAGTAGCTCCACAGTTGATCAGGATTATTTTTTCAGTGATCAATACCAGCAGGCTCCACTGTTAAATTTTGGTGGAGTATTACATGTAATTAAACAATAGAAAAAAAAATATAGTCTCACTCAAGATTTGTCTTTAGAGATAAAACTTATATGAAATTATTTAGGTAAAATTTATAAAGTTTTTTTTATGAATAATTTAATAAAAAATTTAAATAGATAAATAGATAAAGTTTAATGTGAAAATTAATAATATATAAAAAAATTATTAAAAATATGATTTATAATTCAAATTTGATCTATACTTATTTAATAGTAAAAATTATCAATATTTTTATTAAAAATATATATTTAATAAATATATCAAAACGTTTTAAAATTTTTTTAAAATTTATACGTTTGATTTATATAATGAGATTTTTAAATCTATTGATTTTAAATTTAACTTTAAATTTTTTATTTTTAATTAAAAATTTTACCAATTTTATCTATAAAACTTTACCTAAAATTTTCCCTATCTTTAGTACTTTTTGAATTTGGTTAAGTTACCTAATAGCACAGCCTAGCTTTTCAGAGATAGTGGACGGATCTCAATTGTTGGAGTGACATGCCTTTGATTTTTTTGATCGCGTCCTTGAGTTTGATAAAGAAATAGCTTCCAGCCCCAGGAGAGAGAGAGAGAGAGAGAGGGAGAGAGAACCAAACCTCTAGTTCAAATTCCATAAAGCAAGATTTGGTCATCACTATAGTGCTTGGAGGGTCAAATTTCTGAATTTAGAAACCTCAAAAAGCAAGATTCATATCAGTATCAACTTATGACACTGATATTTGGTCAAATTCCGGCTGTCCATCCATTATGACCCGTGATACAACTTTTTTCTTTTTTTTTTTTTCCATTAGTGGAAGCTAAATAGAACCCAGTTTTCTTAATTAAAGCATTTTCATCACTATAGTGATTGCACTAGAGATTTGGCTTTTTTTTTTTAATGGGAAAGAAGAGAAACGTAACACTGATAATTGGTAGTGTTGTTATTTGTTAGGGTAGGGCCCTTTCATTTTGGTTATTTGGGGATTAAATCTACTGCCATTGATCAGTTATGCTTCAAACAACAACTTAACTTGAGGAATCTTGGTTGGAAGTGAAAGTTAATTTAGGTATAGAACAGGTTAAGTAAGAGAAATGTTCTCCTCTAGTTCCACTTAATTGATTTTTCCAAGGCTGCTAAGTCTTACGGTTTCATTTTGATAGCCAGTCTTATATTTAATTCCTTTGCCTTCTGGTTCAATTAATCAACATGATAAGTTGTCATTCATATTTGATATCCAATCAAAAAGCTTATTAATTCGCCTGTTAATCGAAAATCTCTAATGGTGATCCAAGAATAGTAATTGCATTCAAAGAAATTAAAGGTCTAGTTAATTATTTTAAAGTTTCCACGAGGGAACCTTTAACACAATCAGCACAATTTTCATTCCACCCATTTAGTTGAAACTACTATAAACAATGGAGGTTGAACAAAAGAGCTATAGGACAGATGTGTTTCACTTGAATCTGTCGACCAAAACAGTTCTAAGCTTTGACAGCAGACATCAGTAAATAACAATAATAATTCATTTTATGCAATTGCTAGAGAAGTACAGGGGAACCCCTTCCTTTTTGGTGCATTTCGATGGTGGGAGAGGCCAAATATTGCTAGAATAGGGGTTCTAAACCAACAAGATTAGCTCTTCTAAATTCTAATGTCTGCCACCAAAATTTTGGTTAAATATATTGCCGTACGTCGTCACCGAATTCAAACGATAAAACAACATTTCAGCACTATGAAAGGCCAAGGATCGAGCTTCAAGTTTCAATTGATAGCTTTGTTCTTGAAAATTAAAAAAAAAAGTGTTTTGGTAGCCATTTTTTCTCCCTGAAGTTCTTACATTAGTACTATTATTGTTAAGTGGGGCATAGAGAAGAATAACCAGAGATATATATGCAATATGGAGGATCTTTTAAAGTTTCTATAATTCAAACCATCCATTATTGCAATTGATGCCACACCACTCATTTAGGTTTACGAAGAATTAGCGGTCAGGATCCTTATAGGGCCCTAATTCCTGACATTATAAATCCCAGGGAAGATCAGAACTCACTTCATTGTGCTTAGTTATACCTTCTTCCCTCTCATCTCTCTTGATTCTATCTCTGGCAATTTGATCAAATTCCCTTGAGAGACATTAAGTCAAGTTATTTCCTACTTAATTATGGAATTGAGAGGCATGCATAAATGTGCTGTTTTTCTTCTTGCAGTGATTGCTTGCAGCCATTTAGTCTTCTCAGTTGAGGGAAGAAAAATTAAATCAGTGACCAAAAGTGATTCAAAGCAAGGCAGCAAGACTGACAACTCTGCAATGCAGAATGAAGGTCATCTACCAGGAGCCCCAGCTTACATTCCTAATGCTACCCACCATTCAGTATCACGAAAGAATGAAGTATTGCCACCCCTTATACCAACTAAAAGCTCAGATTTTGGTGATTCAGTTAGAGGGTACAAAAATGATTTTCGGCCCACTACATCAGGGAACAGCCCTAGTGTTGGAGATTCTTTTGAAGAAGATGATGAAAATATTGAACAACAACCAGGAAGCATTAGCTCGAGTATTGATAAGCATTCTATTGCAGGAGATAAAGAAGATTTCCGACGTACCAACCCAGGGCACAGCCCTGGAGTTGGTCACGCTTTTCCAAGCGAAAATTCGGAACCAAATGCCTAGACATTTACATGCCCCGCAGGTAATTTAGGTTAATTGAATCAGAAAGGACCTGGTTTAATATTCATGTAGGACTTGCATAAGTCCTAGGTCTAAAGACAGATTTGTATTCAGCTATAAAAAAATTAATTTTGTCTAAAACAAACTGGTTTGATGCTTGTAACTAGTAGCTATTTGTCCATGTGTATTTCACAATGTCATGTACCGTGTGTTACTCTTTGCAATGTCTTTTTTCAATCATCTTAATAAATTGTTTCTGATATTTAGGAAAAAAAAAAGACATCTGCCCGTGTGGCGCAGCCGCCAGTTTACATCAACTGATGAAATCTCTCTCTTCCTCCTTTGCTTCTGCATATGATCTGCAGTTAATTCAAATAAAGTTTTATGTATATATATGTACGTAGGTACGCGCATGTATGTACGTGTACGTATAAATGAGTGAACAAGTGTGTGAGGACCATCAAATAAAACATATACATAAAAGCTTTTCCATTTGGGGCAAGAAGAAATCTAAACAACTATAGATTAAGGAACTCCGAAGAAGTATGAAAGCTAATATTTGGGAAATATAATAGCATTAAGAAATGGAGATGAAAAAGGTCCCAGCTGGAAAGGAAGAGCAAATTAAGCCCTTTTTCTTGATTACACTAAGGAGAAAAGGAAAAGTGCCGAAGGTGATCACTTAGTGCACGTAACATGAATGGCAAAAGCCAACAAACTCTTGCGCTATTACTACTGTACATTTCCATGAAGAAATTTTTTTTAAAGCAAGACAGAAGATAACTAGATTAATGAAGCGATAATATAGAGCTCAAAACACAAAAATAAAACAGCAAAACATGAATGCATCAGCAAAGGTTAAAAATAGGAAGACAGAGCTTGAGTTCTTGGAGCACCAGATTTTGTCAAACCGCAATGGAGTTAAGTTCCCTAGAATTTGAGAAATGAAAGCAAACTTTTACATGAGATTTTTGAGATGCGGAAATCATTTGGTGGACCCGATCAGGAGCAAGATTTGCTAAATAATTTTTCTTTTTTGCATAACGTAACTAATATAGTAAAAGGTTAAGCAGTTGACGTAGGACTGTTAGTCCGTGAACTTTCATTCTTTGTTGATAAAACAGATTACAGCCAACTGATGGCGATGTTTTTTCTCCTTAACAACAAGTCCAAGACCTAAATCAACTTGCCTGTTTGCTCGAACACAGCTACTTAATCAGACCAAGAGGCCCCAAGCTTAGTTCGAGTGCGTGCGTAACAGACACTGACTGCGGTTGGTTTATTTTAATACTTGGAAGAAAGCAGCCGCAAATCTTTAAAGGGAAGATTCCCATGGAATCTTGTATCCTTACCGTTTATTTGCAAAGATTCCTCGCAAAGAAATCAATAATAAATGTTATCATACATCCTTAACCCCTTTTGGCCTATGGCATGGGGCATCTGACAAGTTGTCAGAGACAAAAAATGGAATCCCCAGGCCCGTGCCCCAACCTGCCAGTGTTACAAAACCTTTAATAAACGGTCAAAAACTTTTGCATGTGCGATCATTTTGTGCTTTTAGCAGTAAGTACACTTTAACAACGGTGGTTGAGATTCTCGATCGATATTTAAGCTTAAGTTAACAGATTTTATTTGATTAGGAGAGCGGGAAAAATAGCCTCATAGATTTTTGGGCCGCAAAAGAATCTAGCAGCTAGCTAATAATGGTCGATGTACATCAGTTTTAAACTATTCAGCTAATCTTTAATTTATCGATGAAAAATTAATTTTTAGTTATCAGTTTAATTAGTACCATTCTATAAGCAGTGGAAGTTGACATTTTGTCTCACCTCTTGGAAGGAAAGATTATTAATGCAAAAGAGCCGCAGGTAGACAAACAAAGTAACAAATTGCTGCCCAAACCCTTTTTTTATTATTTTTCATTTACATATATACATGAATGTATTAGGTTCTTCCTTGATACTTGCGACATTACTTATAAAAAAAAAAAAAAAGCCTTGCATCTTGCCTTTTGGGCCTCGCAACCTACATCCTGCATACTTCTCCCTCCTTCCCTCTCTCTGGTTTCCTGCAATTGTTTTTTTCTTTTCCCTAACCTATTATGCCCTACAAATAGCGTCGATATAAGATTGCATCCAACCATAGCCTCCTCCCTACTTCGTTTTGGTTTAGTTCACAAAACTAGAGCTCTAAAACTCTAATACTAATTTTTGTAACTTCAGCATTCTTGCTATGGCCAATTTCAGATATAGTTGTTTGTTTTTTCTCGTAATTTTGTCCCATGAAGTACTTCTCTTTGCCGAGGGAAGGACCTTGCGTCTGAAGACAAATTTACAGAATGTCAATTTAATGAGTCCTGATGGGAAGAGCATTAATGCAAGACCTACCGGGAAAAATGTAGCCATCTCTAGCTCCTCTCGTCATGTTTTCAGGTCATTGGAAGGATATGTAGATGCTTTTCGACCCACAACTCCTGGGCATAGCCCTGGCATCGGCCACTCCATTCACCACTAAGATATTTTTAATTGTTATTGGCTTGTACTTGCACTAGTTGATATTTTAGGCAATTTCGTATTCTTTTAGTAGTTGATATCGTAGGCAATTTCGTACTCTTTTCATTTTTTGTGTTATTGCTTGTCCTTATATCTCCACTTCTAATAAAAAAATTTGCAATTAATTTCGACCTCTCTCGATATGAAGAAAGTTGGCATTTTGAGCTTTTTTGATTAATTAAGCACCAACATTGTCATAATGCCATCAGTGCAACAGAAAATAAAAATAAAAGCAACGAGGCAACAAAATTAGATAAAACATGCATGTTAAAAAAGCTGACTAATCGCTGAAAACATGGTCATTTTGTCAAAGTAATTGAAATAACATCAATTTTTGGCTTTAAAAATCCTTGTTCAATAGTCAGTTCTGTAATCCAATCACGTTTTGTCAAATAAAAGGAAAATAAAAACTTGTCATGTGTGTGAAAAATACTGCAATAGTTCCAACTTTTTTCCAAAAATAAAATAGGAGGAAAAATTAAGAAAATAAAATGACCCTTGAATTCATTGTACAGCTGAGAACGGAAAAAAAAAAAAAAGCAAATGATGCAGTTACATGAACCGTGCATGATAATTTCCCTGACAGATTTGCAAGCCAAGCTGTCACAATGTCTTCCCTTTGTCTGGACTTTAACTTAATAAAAAATTCGTGTATAAAGGGATATTCGACAAGTAGTACCGGCCAAATTCGGTTTTATAATTGCTTGATCCCTTGTACAAAGTCCACATGCAGCTTAAATTTGCTGATGGAATCTTCCTTGATGCTTGGGAGAACACTTGAGTTTGAGAGTTTAGGGCCTCACATGGTCTTAAACCTCTCTTTATTATCAGCCTTTGTACAAACTGGTATAATTAATGTCTGTTTTTATTTTTTTTCATTTTTGGTAAAGGTATTATGCCTTTGCAATAACATTTATAAAGAAAGACAAGTTAAGGAAGATCACTGTCAACACTAGACAGACATGAGTTGCCTTCCATTTCAGTCAAGATGAAGAGTATGATGGAAAGAAAAGCAAACATGGAGAAAATAATTCCATTAATGCATGGCAAAGGAGTTTTAAAGTTTTAACCAAATCAAAATATATGAAATGGAATTCGGTACATATTTTGGTTAGGAAAGTGTTGAATTAAGCAATTAAAAAATATACCTAAAGGAAGCACATGAGCTCAATGAAGGTTTTGGCCTTCCGGGTCAAATTAAGATATAAAAATTCGCAACTCTTTCTTCAACAATGAAGAAACAAAATGAAAGATCAAATTAAGTTTTTACTTTCAAAAAGTGGTTGTACGAAAGTAAGAAAAATTATTTATTAAAAATAAAAACATTTTATTTTTTTAATGTAAAAAGATATAATTATATTCAAACAGTGTGATTAATTTAGGAGTTTGATTGAAAAATACATTTTATGATTAAAATCTAACCATTAAACGTATCTCTCAGTGCAGTAAAAACCTTCTAATCGAACTTAAGCTGGTTAATCTAAAACAAATATTTTGTCCATACAAAAGATATTATATTATATACAAGGTGGCAACTGGCAACTACCCTCCAAAAGCTAGGGAGATGCTGTCCTTTTGAGTTTTTTATATAGTTGAACACTGGGCCAAGCCATAAATTTCTGTTTAAAAGCTTGAGTCCCGCAGCCCCTAAACAATATAAAGAGCTAAACTGCAAGAACCGGCCAAATAAACAGTGTCAGTTAGTGGAAGCGTTAGTGGGCAGGCGCTTAAGAGGAATAAGGTTAAGTACAAATCTCTCCCATTTTTTAAAACCCTGGATAGCTAGTGCCACCTCTGAGCCCTTTGAAAGGTAGGACGGATTGCAAAGGATTTGAAAATCATTTGTGGTTGACAACCAGAATCCATAGAGAGCTAGCTGCCGATGATCTTGCATTTCTGATATATATATATATATATATACATATATCTATAAAGAGAGAGAGAGAGAGAGAACCTTTTAGATTTATATGATCAGAAACATATGGAATATGCGAAAGATTTAGTGTATACTTGCTCAAGCACACAATTGCATTAATCATCTCATCATTGTGCAAGTGTGAGTGGAATAGTTTGTTTTCGATTAATTATTCGATAAGTAAGTTAGAGCATTTGATGATCTGACTGTTCAATAATTCATACAAAATAAATAATCATAAATCTATTAGTAATTAGTAATTTGAATTGCATGATCGTGGAACAAAATAACTTTACACTTACTCCAACAGTTCTTTTAAGAAATTCAAAGTTTAGTTTAATTAGTTTAAACAATTAGGAGTTCAAATCTTAATACATGCAACTCTTTTATATATAAAAAAAAATAGCACCGTTAATTTACTCTTAAAAAATGTGGTCAATATATGCCAAACAACACAATAAATAAATGTCTTTGGTTTTTCTTTTTGTAATTGTTTGTTGTATTTATTAATAAGGCTTTGTTCTACTCATGGAACA